AACGTGACGTCCTGGGAGGACAGAACACGTCGAGAGGTGGGGTGGTAAAACTGCCACCCAGGGGCGTCGGGGGGGAACCCCAGGAAGACGCAGGGAGAAGCACGAGGGGACAGCTTGTCCGCAGACAGGTCGCGAACAAACGCCCGAGATCCCCAGACCCGGAACGCCGACGCATCGCCAACCTTCCCCGTCCACAGCAGGGCTGGGGAGGTCTCTGGTCGAGAGACCCTGGGGTGGAGGTTGATCTGGTGCGCAGCGTACCTGACCGCAAACGGCCACAGAAAATGGGGAGCAGCCGCATGCATCATGGACGTACGAGCGACGTCCATGACCATGCCAATGCGGCGCTCAGCAATCCCATTCTGCTGTGGTGAGTCCGGAAGCGTGAAGGTCTGACGGATGCATCGCACACGACAGTAGGCACTCAGGAGGCCAGAGGAGAACTCTCCGCCTCTGTCCGAGTGCAGACGCAAAACAGGGAAGTCAGAGCCAAAGCTCCTCCGAAGCTGAAGACGAGCAGCGCGGATCCAGTCGATCAACACCTCAGTGACCTCACCCTTGCTGCGCAAGGGGAAGACTGTGGTGTAACGCGAGTAGTCGTCAACCACCAGCAGGAAGTAGCGCTCCTGACCCTGTCCACGGACGCGGGCTGGGCCCCACACGTCCATGTGAAGCGTCTGCAACGGGGCCTCTGTCGGAGGAAACTGGGAGGAGTGGGGGGCAGCACGCTGGCGCCCCTCGACACAGGGGACACAGGCAGGGCCAGGGCCCGGAGGAAGGGGAGGGAGGGACCGGGGAAGACCAGACACAAGGACCCGCGAGGCCATGCCTCTGAGCCGAAGCAGAGAGGGGTGGCCAAGGCGGTGGTGCCAGAGGAGGGTCTCGTGAGACAGACGACGACACGAACAGGGGGCAGACTCAGGACCAGACCTGGACGCTGCAGCAAACACCTGACCAGACGAAGGGACTCTACCAGATGCAGCACCTGGAGGAGAAGCAGTGGTCAGTGTGTACAGGCTCGACCCTGGCCGACGTGTAAACGTAGCCAGGTGACGACCTGTATCCGCCTCCGTACAGTGGGTCACCCGCTGACGAGCAGGGGTGAACTGGTGGACACCTGCATCCTGGAGGTCAGCACCACTCACCAAGTTCGTCGAGAACGAGGGGAGGTAGAGACCAGTCAGGGTGCCAGAGGGGGCCGCTGGACACGGGAGGACAGTGGAGAAGCGAGACAGGACAGGTCCCCCAGAGGGGTCAGCCAGGGACACCGCAACCGGCCGACTCAGCGGCGTGAGAGTGGTGCGGTCTCTAAAGAAGGAGCGAGACGCTCCAGAGTCAAGGGTGAAGGTGTGAGAGGCCGAAGCCGACACAGTACCTGAGAGGGCGGACTCACCAGCACCTGAGAGCACAGACGCACTGGCACCTAGAGCTGCAGCCTCACTAGTACCTGACGCGGCAGTACCAATGCCCGGGTCGGGCGGGAAACACCGGTAACAGTCATCCTCATCACTACCAGTCACAGCATACATAGCAGAGAGAATAGCATCAAAGTCAAGATCATAAATAGCTACTCCAGCCCTAGACAGCTCTCCCCAGCGGGGGATCTCAGCGGCCTCCGGAAACTGCTGACGCCAGGCGTCGGTCAGGCGGCCAAAGCAGCGACGGGCTGTGTGGGCGCCTCCACACCTCTCCCCCGCACGGTCACCGGTGCGAAGAACGTAGGGGCAGGGACAAAGCGCACCACCGCGCTGACGCTGCAAGTACCACTCACGGAGCTGCTGAGGGCCGGGGACGGTGCGAGAGCGCTGCTGCTGCTGCGGCTGCTGCTGCTGCTGCTGCTGCTGCTGCTGGCGCTGACCACCCCCAGAGCTGCTCCGCTGGGACGAGCCACTCCGACCCCCGCCTCCGCCGCCACCCCCGCCTCCACCGCCACCCCCGTCTCCACCGCCACCTCCCCCACCAGGACCGTCGCTCCCACCGCTCCCACCGCCTCCTCCGCTACCACCTCCGCCGCCACCTCCGCCTCCACCGCCGCCACTAGTACCTCCACTCCCGCCACCACCCCCACCGCCACCCCCACTCCCCCCTCCACCCCCACCTCCTCCTCCACCGCCCCCTCTAGCTCCACCCGCCCCCTTGCCCCCCTTGCCCTTGCCAGAGCGGCGTCTGCCGCTGGGGGCAGACGCCGCGCCGACCGACTCAAAACCAGCGAGGTCGGCCGTAGCGGCAGAGGCGACAGAGGGCAGCAGGGGGGAAGGACCACACCCCTCAAAGATGGGGGTGCGAGGGTCACCCCGAGAGGCCCCTACAGCGACAATACTCTTCTCAGCCGCTAGCAGGGACTCCTCAAGGAGGTCGACAGTGAGAGTGGTGGGACAGACAGAGAGAAAATGGTCCCTAACGACACGAAGGGACTCAGGGAGACGGGTGACGAGAAAGTAGAGAGTGATGTACATGGGAGGAGGGTTCGCAGCGCGGAACTCAGCAGGAAGGGCAGCACGGTAGCGGGTGTCACTAGCGCGGAGGTGGGTAACTAGGTCAGCAACAGTGGGAAAGGAAGCGAGGTCAGGGAAGAGAAACGGTAGCATGAGGCGGCTAAGGGTAGCGGAGGAAGGGGAGGAGTAGCGTGCAACTACAGCGTCGTACAAGGCCTGAGCGGTCTTGCACTGACTAAAGTGGGCACGCTCAGAGGAAGGGAGGTGGCGACGCACAGCAAGACGTGCAGCAGCATCGCGGGTCGCCCACTTGGAGCGAGCAGCAGAGTCAGCATCAGCAGGCGGGGCAGGGACAGCGCCAGAGACAAAGTCAAAGAGAGAGACCTCATCTATCGCATCACACAGTAAGTACAGCTGCAAGTCTTCAATCCAGACGGCAAAGTCAATGGCCCTCCCCTCAGCGTCAAAAGTAAGAACATTGGGGGTGGCCATGGCAGCAGCTGAAAGTCTCACCGGGGTGGAAGAGTCGGGTAGGTCAGCAGCAGAGGAACACAGCTCAGGGACAGCAGCACGGCTCCTCAGGTGGCTCGCGTGGCTCAGGCGGCTCGGGCGGCTCGGGCGGCTCGGGCGGCTCGGGCGACTCGGGCGGCTCGGGCGGCTCGCGCGGCTCGGGTGGCGTAGGGGCTGCTGGGGCTGCTCACGTGCAGCACGGCGGGCTGCAGCAGGGCCGGTGGTGGGCTGTAGCAGGGCCGGTGGCGGGCTGTAGCAGGGCCGGCGGCGGGCTGTAGCAGGGCCGGCGGCGGGCTGTAGCAGGGGCCGGTGGCGGCTGTAGCAGGGCCGGTGGCGGGCTGTAGCAGGGGCCGGTGGCGGCTGTAGCAGGGCCGGTGGCGGGCTGTAGCAGGGCCGGTGGCGGGCTGCAGCAGGGGCCGGTGGCGGCTGTAGCAGGGCCGGTGGCGGGCTGTAGCAGGGCCGGCGGCGGGCTGTAGCAGGGCCGGTGGCGGGCTGTAGTGGGGCCGACGAGGGGCCGAAGTGGGGCCTAGGCGGGCCGGTGGGCTGTAGGCGGGGCCGACGCGGCGGGCTGTAGCAGGGGCCGGTGGTGGGCCTAAGCGGGGCCAGCGCGGGGCCGACAGGGCGTAGGTGGGGCCGACGCGGGGCCGAAGAGGGGCCTAAGCGGGGCCGACGGAGCCTAGCGGGGCCGACACGGGGCCGAGACGGGGCCTGGGCGGGGCCTACGCGGGGCCGACGAGGGGTACGAGGGGTCGACGAGGGGTACGCGGGGCCGACGAGGGGTACGCGGGGCCTACGCGGGGCCGACGAGGGGTACGCGGGGCGTACGCGGGGCCTACGTGGGGCCGACGAGGGGTACGCGGGGCCTACGCGGGGCCGACGAGGGGTACGCGGGGCCTACACGGGGCCGACGAGGGGTACGCGGGGCCGACGAGGGGCCTAAGCAGGGGCCGACGAGGGGCCTAAGCGGGGCCGACGAGGGGCCTAAGCGGGGCCGACGAGGGGCCTAAGCGGGGCCGACGAGGGGCCTAAGCGGGGGCCGACGAGGGGCCTAAGCGGGAGCACGACGGGAGGGGCGACTCGGAGGGTCGCTAAAAAAAAAAAAATGCGCGCCTCGGGGCGCGATTCGGTGGGCCCTAGGAACAGGCCCTAGGAAGGGACCTGCTCTGATTCCATGAGAAAGTACGAACGAGAAGTGAATGACTATGAAAAGAAGTGGGTACAAATAGGAAACCCTAATTGGGTTGTACCCCCTATGGGATACCCCACTATAGCCTACAGAAACAAGTAAGCTATATGTTCTGACACAACTGCCAAGTCGGATCACCCTTGCCAACGCGGACAAACAGTCCCGAAGGTCAAAGGGACTTCCAATCCTCAATACCCGGTGAGTTCGCTGTAGTGAAGCGAGCCCTTACCAGTCGGTGTTGTAACCGCGCAGGTAACTTCCAACATGTCAAAAAGCGAGGGAATTGTAAGCCGGCTATATCGAAATCACTTTTGAGAATTCTCAAAAGTGATTTCTACCATCCTCCGACAATGCCTGATAGCCAAAGCCACCTAGGGCGAACGACGCAAGGAACCACTGCAACATCGGTAGACGTTTCCGTCCTGGCCGGCCAGCATCATTTGGTGGTGGTTGGCGGTCTACCGACCACAGCGACATAGATTTACCGCACTTATCACACCTCCAAACCATGCCGAGGGCAGCCCACATCATGTTCCAAGACCGCAACCTCATTGAACCTCCACATCCACCCCCCAGCGTACAGTGCAGCATCACCACCATGAAAAATCGAATGAGGTGGACGGGGTTCAACAGACAGATGACGTCGTGCAACCCTGAAAGGGACGGTTGGGCTGGCCTCCGTCCGGGTGAAGTCTCATGGTGAATCTTGTACCCAGGCGCGTCCCTAACAGGTTAGAACATGGGGAGATTACAAAAACAATGTTCGATTTTGACAACTTTGAGACCTCATTGTACCCCAAACGCTTCATTATATCATGAAATAACTGCGAGGTATTCAGGTGGCAACCATAAGGTCGTGACAATAAGCGTCACACCAACACGTACCTTGCATGAGCTTGATCCTCATCATTCTCTAGGGTGGTCGTAGGGGCGCATGCAGGAGGCACGCCATGCCCATCGACATCCTCGTGCTCGACGGCCGAGGGGACATCACCAACAGCCACTGGTGCATCCGGATCAATGTCAATGACCACATGATGACGCTCCTCAGGCTCCTCGCTCTCGTCCTCTACAACTAGCGTGGGTGTCATGGCCGTCTCTCCACCTGCAGTTTTAGAGAATATAGGAGCATTCTCACCAAGAAGATATGATCGGTGCTTTTGAAGGCTATCATGGTATGAAGGGTCTAGAGACGTTTGATTCACAAACTTGCATTCATACCCTTCTGCAGCAACTCGGAATACGCAGCCCCGCGACGTGCACCCCCATGGCCAAACCGGGAAGTGCTGCTTCGTGTCGTGCCATTGGTCACATTTGATGGGAACGCGTAGACCAACCCTACAATGGCACTCGCATGTCCAGTCACCAAGGCCTCCGGTCGGCCAATCGCCCGATCCTTTCCTCCTTGAAATTTTCCGGCAAACTTTTCCAAACATTCTTGCACGGCCATTTCTGCCTCCACACCGTCAGCACCTGAACGCATGCGATTCACGCCAGACTTGGCATAAATGCATGTTCAGACTGTCCGTACTCAAAACATGCACCTGATTCGTCATTATGTTTCCGCGTTGCTCACCGGCTTTCCGGTTCAAACTTGCGACTTTGTATTGAGTCACTCACCAGCGTTCCTCGCGGCCATCATAAGCGCATCCTTTGCTCCGGGACCAGCATGTAGGAGGAAGTACACTAAATCACCCAAGGTCGCCGTCCGGCCTTCTCCCATCAAGGCGCTCAATCCACAACGTAAGTAGCATATCGGAAGACGCATGTGTTTAGCTATTGCAAGACTCTCGTTGTCTTTGGTGTTCACGATCTCTTTCACCTTGTCCTTCCGTGCAGTGGCCGTTGTTTCTTTCTGACGACCCATTCCACACACCTGCACGGAAACTACTCACCATGCAAACGGGGAAGTGAGGCAAAGCAGGTTGGAAACTACTAGCCATGCAACGGGGGAGTTGAGGCCAAGCAGGTTGGAAACTACTAGCCATGCAACGGGGGAGTTGAGGCCAAGCAGGTTGGAAACTACTAGCCATGCAACGGGGGAGTTGAGGCCAAGCAGGTTGGAAACTACTAGCCATGCAACGGGGGAGTTGAGGCCAAGCAGGTTGCACATTGCTGTTCATGCACAGGTGAAATTGCTGGCGAGGTAGAGGGGGGATGTAGGACCGAGGGGGAAGGGCAGCGGGGGAGAGGCAGGACTGGGTGTGTACGGCAAAGACGCATGAAGGCAGGGCAGGGAGGGAAGGGAGTAATAAGGTTGACTCACCTCGTGTAAAAATTGCTGGTGACGCGTTCAGTTGGTGACGCGAGAAGCCGGCAGAACTGGGGGGAAGAAGTGGGGGAGAGCCGGTGGAAATGAGGGGGAGCAGTAAGGGAAATGAGAGGATGAAGAGGGTGAAGTGAGGGGGGGCAGTGGGGGAAATAGAGCAAGGGAGGAGATGAGAGGAAGAAGGGGGGCCAATGGGGGGGAGACGGGGTGGGGATGAGATGCCTAAAGGGGGAAATGAAAGGGAGTAGTAGGGGGATGTGTGGAGGAGCAGTGGGGGAAATTTCGAGGGAGCAGGGGGTCGAGTGGTAAAAGGGAAAATATTTGGCTAGCAGGGGGGGAATACGGGGCTATCAACGGGGAAATATGAACGTGTGCGCTCTGGGGAAACATGGGGCGTGCATGGGGGAAACATCGCCTCCTGCGGGGGTGGGGGGGGTGGGGTGAGGAACATGGGGCGTGCATGGGGGAAACATGGGGCGTGCATGGGGGAAACATGGGGCCTGAATGGGGGAAACATGGGGTGTGCAGGGGGAAAACATCGCCTCCTACGGGGGGGGGGGGGGGGGGGGGGGGAGGGGGGGGGTGGGGGAGAACATGGGGCGTGCATGGGGAAACATGGGGCCTGCGGGGAGGGGGGGGGGAACATGGGGCGTGCATGGGGGACACATGGGGCGTGCAGGGGGGACACATGGGGGGAAAGGAGGGGAGGCAGGGGGGAAGAGGAAGGAAAGCCGTGGGGGAAAAGGGGGGAAGCAGAGGGGGAAAGGAGGTGAAGCGGGGGCGGAAAGGAGGTGAAGCAGGGGGGGTAATGGATGGGAAGCAGGAGGGGAGAGGAGGACAAGCAAGGCCATCCAAGGAGGGGATGAAGGGGGGGAAAGGGGGGAAGCAAGAGGTGAAAGGAGGGGAAGGCATGGAGGAAAAAGGGGGAAGTAGGGGGCGAAGGGAGGGCAAGCAGGGGCGGACCGGAGGGGAAGCAGGTGGAGAAAGGAGGGGAAGCAGGTGGAGAAAGGAGGGGAAGCAGGTGGAGAAAGGAGGGGAAGCAGATGGAGAAAGGAGGGGAAGCAGGTGGAGAAAGGAGGGGATGCAGTGGGTAAAGGGAGGAAAAGCATGGGGGGAAAGGAGGGGAAGGAGAGGGGGGAACAAGGTGAAGCGGAGGGGGAAATATGGGGAGGTAGAGAGTTTAGAACGATTGAAGCAAAGGGGGAAACAAGGGGAAGGAGAGGGGGGAACAATGAGGAGCAGAGGGGGAAATGAAGGGGAAGGAGAGAGGGGGAAGGGGGGGAAGCAGAGGGGGGAATAAGGGGAAGCAGAGGGGAAAATAAGGGGAAGGAGAGGGGAGAATGGGGGCATGCAGATGGAAAATTAAAGCCAGCAGGCAAAATAGTGACCCCCCCCTTCTAGTTGTGTCCACTTGAAGATGAAGTATTTTTGTTTCGTTTTGGAATGTTGGAATTGCTGTATGTGTGCTTTTTTTTCCGACCCTCGGACGAGTTTCTTATTGGGCCAGGAACAATAGTTCATTGTCAATTCTGATTGGCAGCCAGGTTCTCTCACATGTACATGTGCGAATTTGGCGCAAAGTTGAGCGACGAGCACTCCTGCATTCACTAGAGCCAATACTTCACCAAATTCACAACTAGCAACATCTCACGCTAAATCCCAAGCAGACACACATGTATGTGATGAGAGTGAAAGTGTTTGAATGTTAGTAGAGCTAGTAGAGCTCTGATCAATGTGCTGCCTTGGAATTGAGGCCTGGGAGAGGTGCAATAACGGGAAACAGAAGAGAAAAACAGCACTAGGGGGGAAATTATGATGGGCAAGGTGACGCGAATGAAGAGAAAGAGGGAGGGCGATGGGAAACGGGAGGCCGACGGGAAACGCAAGGGCGACGGGAAACGGGAGGGCGACGGGAAACGGGAGGGCGACGGAAAATGGGAGGGCGACGGGAAACGGGAGGGCGGGAAACGCGAGGGCGACGGGAAAAGGGAGGGCGACGGAAGAAGGGAGGGCGACGGGAAACGGGAGGGCGACGGGAAACCGGAGGGCGACGGGAAACGCGAGGGCGATGTGAAACGGGAGGGCGTCGGGAAAAGGGAGGGCGACGGGAAACGGGAGGGGGGCGGGAAACGGGAGGGCGAAGGGAAACGGGAGGGCGATGGGAGAGAGGATCGGCGGCAGGCGAGAGGGTGTCGAGAATAGATGGAAAGTCAAAAAACAAACAAACCAAACACAATAACAGAGTACGGAATGGGTCTCGCTGACGCGATAGCAGAGGGAGAACGAGAGAGGCGACGGAGAAAGGAGGGCATACGTGATGGGAGAGTCGAAGGTCGCCGGGAGGGCTATTCGAGGCGAGCGAGAAGGGAGGATGGGAAGGGAGCAGAAAGAGAGAGGGCAATGGGAAGGGAGCGGAGAGAGAGAGAGAGAGAGAGAGAGAGAGAGAGAGAGAGAGAGAGAGAGAGAGAGAGAGAGAGAGAGAGAGAGAGAGAGAGAGAGAGCGCGACGGGAAGGGAGCGGAGAGAGCGCGATTCGAAGGGAGGAGCGAGAGAGAGGGCGGAGCGGAGAGAGAGAACGTGATGGGAAGGGAGGGGCGAGAGAGAGGGCGACGGGAAGGGCACGGAGAGAGAGAGCGCGACGGGTAGGAGGGGCAAGAGAGAGGGCGACGGGAAGGGAGCGGAGAGAGAGATCGCGACGGGAAGGGAGGGGTGAGAGAGAGGGCGATGGGAAAGTAGCGGAGAGAGAGAGCACGACGGGAAGGGAGGGGCGAGAGAGAGGGCGACGGGAAGGGAGCGGAGAGAGAGAGCGCGATGGGAAGGGAGGGGCAAGAGAGAGGGCGAGGGGAAGGGAGCGGAGAGAGAGAGCGTGACGGGAAGGGAGCGGAGAGAGAGGCCGGCGGGAAGGGAGCGGAGAGAGAGCGCGATTCGAAGGAGGAGCGAGAGAGAGGGCGGAGCGGAGAGAGAGAGAGCGATGGGAAGGGAGGGGCGAGAGAGAGGGCGACGGGAAGGGCGCGCAGAGAGAGAGCATGACGGGAAGGGAGGGGCGAGAGAGAGGGCGACGGGAAGGGAGCGGAGAGAGAGAGCGCGACGGGGCGAGCGACGGGATGGCGATCGGTAGGGAGGGGCGAGAGAGAGGCCGACGGGAGGAGAGGAGGGGAGAGAGGGCGACGAAGAGGGCGACGGGACGGGCGACGAGATAGCGACGTGACGCGCGACGGAAAGGGAGACGGGTGGGCGATTTGGCGAACTTGAGGATATCATAGTGGGCGATGAGAGGGGTGAGAGGAATGGCGACGGGAATGGGGTTCTCTGTGATCGCGAGGAAAATATCACTACGCAGCAACAGCGACGAAGTATCACAAACAATCTAATGATAATTTCATTTCTATGCCGCATCAGCCTAATCCCTCGTCTCTGGCTATTCTATGCTAGGCAAGCTCCGTGAGTTAGGCAAGCTACGTGAATGGAGTTAAAGTAAGCATATGTGGAGCCCAGGCCCAGCTTAAAAGTCGAAGTCCAACCATCAAAACGCACGACAAACAACTGTCGTGCAAATGTCGCATGCAGAAAATGCGAACGCGCGAGCACGATCTGATTTTTTTTTTGGGCGGGAACGAATCACGTGTGTTCAGTCTGTGGAAGGGCGATGCCCAGAACAGTGTTTTACACAGCCCATCGTCGTTCCAGTTTTGCTTCTTCCGAGCACGATTTCAAGTTGGATCCGCCTTCACTATTTTATATTTCGGTTTTAAGGGGAAGGTGAGGGGGGAACGAGGGGGGTCAGAGAGGGAAATGAGGGGAAGGAGAGGGCGGAACGGGGGCATGGAGGGGGCCTCGTAAGGCCATGTCGCATACTTCGGGTGAAGGTCGGAGGGGGCAGAGACGGGAAGGGAAGGGAATGGGAAAACAGTATCGCTTGAGTGCCGTAGCGATGGACAGGGCGATACGAATGCGAGGGAGCGAGGGGGGGTAGTTTATGGCTGACTCACCTTGAGCACGGGATTTAGAGCTCTGGGCGAAATGGGGAAGTGGCGAAATGGCGTGCGAGGCTCGCGGTGGAGACGCGTTCAGTTGGTGACGCGAGAAGCCGGCAGAACTGGGGGGGAGAAGTGGGGGAGAGCCAGTGGAAATGAGGGGGAGCAGTAAGGGAAATGAGAGGGAGAGTGTGAAGTGAGCGGGAGCGGTGGGGGACATAGAGCAAGGGAAGAGATGAGAGGAAGAAGGGGGGTCAATGGGGGGGAGACGGGGTGGGGATGAGATGAATAAAGGAGGGACATGAGAGGGAGAAGTGGGGGTAAGTGGGGGGAAGTGTGGAGGAGCAGTGGGGGAAATATCGAGGGCACAGGGGGGGGGGGGGGGGAAATGAGAGGTGGAAGGGCGGAAAATGGGAGGGAGAGAAGGGGGGGCTGAGGAGGTGTAGTGGGGGAAAAGAAAGAGGGAAGGTGGGCAAATGAGGGAAGAGGGAGGGGTAATGGGTCCGTGGGAGGAGGTTAGACGACGGGCTCCCCGCATTCATGGCGGCGCGACCATTCAAAGGTGGCTATTTGGCCTGCTCGACGCATGGGAGAGTGAGTTGCTGACGAAACAGCGACGAATGGGAGGCGAGCAGCATGTGAGGCGACCGCCTCGCGGAGCGCAGCCCTTGGGGCGAATTCGACATTCGCCCGCAGCGCGGGCAGTAGGTGAGGCCAGTAGAGGGTGAGCGTGAAGCTGGCGTCGCCCTTAGCGAGGCGAGATAGGTTACACGAGAAGCACTCGCATGCGCAAAAACGCCAGTGGAATCGCAGTGGTTGAGGCTTTTAGCGGTGAGGCACTAAGCGGCGAGGCACTAAGCGGTGAGGCACTAAGCGGTGAGGCACTAAGCGGTGAGGCGCGAAGGGGTGAGGCGCGCAGCGGGGCCTCATTAGGCCTAACCGCGACACCACCTTATCATAGTATGATACGCGAGTCGCTCGCGTCTCGCCTAATCGCGAGATGGATTAGGCACCACGAGCCGCTAAGGGGTACCGTATCATTAGGCCTTTTTGATACTCCAGTATGTGTCAGAACATTATAGCTTACGCTTTTGTGTAGGCTGTAGTGGGGTATCCCATAGGGGGTACAACCCAATTAGGGTTAGTACTTGTACCCACTTCATTCATAGTTCGTTCATTCTCGTTCTCTCTTTCTCATGGTATCGAGCAGGTTCCCTCATGGGAGCTGTTCCTAGGGCCCACCGATCTCTTTTTTTTTTTTTCCTGCCCGGGGCGCGTCCTGCCCCTGCCCGAAGCGTGCCTAGGGTCGCGCCCTTCTTAGCGGCCCCGTCGCTTCACCCTTAGAGGCCCGTCACGTCGCCCTTAGCGGCCCGTCGCGCCGCCCTTACGGTCGCGTCGCGCCGCCCTAACGGCCGCGTCGCGCCGCCCTAGCGGCCTCTCGCGGCCCCGATCAGCCGCCCTTGCGGCCCCGATCCGCCGCCCTCTCACCAGCGGCCCCGTCGCCGCCCTTCTCACGGCCCCGCCGTCCCGTTACACGGCCCCGCCGCCCTCACCTGCGGCCCGCCGCCCTCAACTGCGGCCCCACCGCCCTCAACTGTGGCCCCACCGCCCTCAACTGCGGCTCCGCCGCCCTCAACTGCAGCCCCGCCAGCCTCTGCTGCGGCCCCGCCGCCCTCAACTGCGGCCCCGCCGCCCTTACCTGCGGCCCCGCCGCCCTCTGCTGCGGCCCCGCCGCCCTTCCCTGCGGCCTTGCCGCTCTCACCTGCGGCCCCGCCGCTCTCACCTGCGGCCCCGCCGCTCTCACCTACGGCCCCGCCGCTCTCATCGGCGGCCCTGCCGCTCTAACCTGCGACCCCGCCGCTCTCACCTGCGGCCCTGCCGCTCTCATCGGCGGCCCCGCTGCTCTCACCGTCGGCCCCACAGCTCTCACCTGCGGCCCCGCCGCTCTCATCTGCGGCCCCGTCCCCTACTGCAGCGACGCCCGCCACCCGAGCTGCCCGACCCGCCCCACCCAGCCGAGCAGCCGACCGCCGCGCCGCCCTGCAGCAGCACCGCCGAGCCGCCCGGGCAACCGAGGAGCCGGACAACCGAACCGCCGAGCCGCCCAACAGCCGAGCAGCTCTGCAACCAAGCCGCACAGCAGCCGAGCCGCCCAGCAGCCCAGTAGCCGAGCCGCCGTACAGTCGAGCCGCACGGCCGCCGAGCCGCACTGCAGCCGAGCCGCCCAGCCGCCCAGTAGCCGAGCCACCCTACTACCGAGCCGCCCGAGCTGCCCTGTCCGGTAAGCACAGTGCCTCTTTTACTGCACTGCCCTCACCCTACTGTTGCACTGCTAGTCTACTGTGGTCATGGCTACCCCTAATGTCCTCGCTTTTGACGCTAAGGGTCGAGCCATTGACTTTGACGTCTGGGTAGATGACCTACAGCTGTTCTTACAGTGCGGTAGGGCAGACGGTCTCTCTCTCTTTGACATCACCTCTGGCGCCTCTCCTGCCCCCGCTGCTGATGCTGACGCCACTGTTTGCTCCCATTGGGCCACGGGCGATGCTGCTGCACGTCTTGCTGTGCGTCGCCACCTCCCTACCTCCGAGCGTTCGCACTTTAGTCAGTACAAGAGTGCTCAGACCTTGTAGGACGCTGTAGTTGCACGCTACTCCTCCCCTGCCACTACTGCACTGAGCCGTCTCATGCCACCGTACCTCTTCGCTGACCTTGCTGCCTTTCCCACAGTTGCTGACCTCATTACGCACCTCCGCACTAGTGACACTCGCTACTGCGCTGCGCTTCCTGCTGACTTCTGCGCCAAGAACCCCCCCCTTCTATGTATATCACCCTCTACTACATAGTCACCCGACTCCCTGACTCCCTTCGCGTAGTCAGGGACCACTTCCTCGCAGTGTGCCCCACCACTCTTACCGTTGACCTCCTCGAGAAGGCCCTCCTAGCGGCGGAGAAGAGCATAGTCGCTGTAGGAGCCTCTCGTGGTGACCCCCGCGCCCCTGTCTTTGAGGGGTGTTCTCCCTCCCCCCTCTTGCCCTCTGTTGATTCTGCTGCTGCGGCCGACCTCGTTGGTTTTGAGTCGGTCGCTGCTGCGTCTGCCCCTTCGGGGAAGCACCGCACAGGCAAGGGCAAGGGGGGCAAGGGCGCTGGAGGAGCTGGCAGGGGCCGGTGGAGGTGGCTGTGGAGGCGGCGGAGGGAGTGGGGGTGGTGGTGGGAGTGGTGGAGGTGGTGGGGATACCGGTGGCAGCAGTGGAGGCGGAGGCGGCAGCGGTGGCGGAGGGAACGGAGGCGGCGGTGGTAGCGGAGGCGGCGGTGGTGGCGGAGGCGGCGGTGGTGGCGGAGGCGGCGGAGGCGGCGGAGGCGGCGGAGGTGGCGGTGGAGCTGGTCGCGGGTCTATGCAGAGGAGTGGCTCTGATTGTGGTCCGCGCCAGTAGCAGTAGCGTGCTCGTGAGACCCTGTCCCCTCAGCAGCTCCGTGAGTGGTACACTGCACGCCAGCGGGGTGGGGGTTTTGGTCCGTGCACCCACGTCCTGCGCACCGGCGACCGTGCGGGTGAGCAGTGTGGGGGTGCGCACCCCACCCAGCACTGCTTTGGCCGCCTGACGGACGCGTGGCGTCACCAGTTCCCTGAGGCTATGGAGATCCCTCGCTGGGGAGAGCTGCCTAGGGCGGGAATTGCCATCTATGATCTTGATTTTGATGCTATCTTTTCTGCCATGTATGCTGTGACTATTAGTGATGAGGGTGACTGTTACCGGTGTTTCCCGCCCGATTCGGGCATTGAGAATGCTGCTCTAGGTACTGGTGAGGCTGCTGCCCTAGGTGCTTGCGACGCTGCTGCTCTAGGTGCTAGTGCGTCTGCGTCCTCAGGTACTGGTGAGTCTGCGCTCTCAGGTACTACGTCGGCTTCGGCCTCCCTCACCTTCACCCTTGACTCTGGGGCTTCTCGCTCCTTCTTTCGGGACCGCACCACACTCACGCTGCTTAGTCGGCCGGTTGCGGTGTCTCTGGCTGACCCCTATGGAGGTCCTGTCCTGTCTCACTTCTCCACAGTCCTCCCGTGTCCGGCGGCTCCCTCTGGCACCCTGTCTGGTCTCTACCTCCCCTCGTTCTCTACGAACTTGGTGAGTGGTGCTGACCTACAGGATGGGGGAGTGCACGAGTTCACTCCTGCCCGTCAGCGAGTGACGCACTGCACAGAGGCTTGCACAGGCCGACACCTGGCTACGTTAACAAGTCAGCCGGGGTCGAGCCTGTACACACTGACCACCGCGTCTCCTCCAGTTGCTGAGTCTGGTCGGGTAGCTGCGTCGGGTCAGGTGTTTGCTGCAGCATCCAGGTCTGGTCCTGAGTGTGCCCCCTGTTCGTGTCACCTTCTGTCTCACGAGACTCTCCTCTGGAACCACCGCCTTGGTCACCCCTCTCTGCTTCGTCTCAGAGGCATGGCCTCCCGTCTTCTTGTTTCTGGTCTCACCCGGTCCCTCCCTCCCCTTCCTCAGGGGCCTGGCCCTACCTGTGTCCCCTGTGTCGAGGGGCGCCAGCGTGCTGCCCCTCACTCCTCCTAGTTTCCTCCGACAGAGGCCCCGCTACAGACGCTTCACATGGACGTGTGGGGCCCAGCCCGCGTCCGTGGACAGGGTCACGAGCGCTACTTCCTGCTCATTGTAAACAACTACTCGCGTTACACCGCGGTCTTCCCCTTGCGCAGCAAGGGTGATGTCACTGAGGTGCTGATCGACTGGATCCGCGCAGCTTGTCTCCAGCTTAGGCAGAGCTTTGGCTCGGACTTTCCTGTTCTGCGTCTGCACTCGAACAGAGGTGAAGAGTTTTCCTCTGGCCTTCTGAGAGCCTACTGTCGAGCACGGGGCATCCGTCAGACCTTCACGCTTCCGGACTCTCTGCAGCAAAATGGGATTGCTGAGCGCTGCATTGGCATGGCCATGGGCGTCGCTCGTACGTCGATGATGCATGCGGCTGCCCCCCATTTTCTGTGGCCGTTTGCGGTGAGGTATGCGGTGCATCAGATCAACCTCCACCCCAGGGTCTCCAGGCCGGAGACCTCCCCAGCCTTGCTGTGGACGGGGAAGGTTGGCGATGCGTCGGCGTTCCAGGTCTGGGGATCTCGGGCGTTTGTCCGCGACTTGTCTGCGGACAAGCTGTCCCCTCGTGCTGCTCCTTGCGTCTTCCTGGGGTTCCCCCCTGACGCGCCTGGGTGGCAGTTCTACCACCCCACCTCTCGACGTGTTCTGTCCTCCTAGGACGTCACGTTTGACGAGTCGGTTCCCTACTACCGCCTCTTCCCCTACCGCACTCCGTCCCTCCCCCCCCCCCCCCGCTCTTCCTTGTACTAGGTCCCCCCCCGGTAGACCCCCTCCCCCCTCAGGGTCTTGCCCCTTCAGGTGTGTCCCAGGTAGACGCAGTCGAGCCTCTCGAGGTTACTGGTGACTCTGGTGCTGCTGAGGGTGCTGAGCCTTGGGGTGCTGAGACTGGGGGTGCTGAGTCTGGGGGTGCTGAGCCTGGGAGTGCTGAGCCTGGGGG